AAGAATTGTAAAAATTTATATTTTTTGTTTTGTTTTAGCTAGCACAGTTTTCAAATAAAGGTCGCGGCGAGGACTTTTGCACCAATGTAATATTTTTATTTTTAAATACTGTTAATAAAAGTGGTTAAATAGTTTTTTATTTGAACAAAAATTTTTTTTAAATTTCTACTTTTATTTCTGAACTGCATTGTAATTTTTGTAGTTTTATACGACTTATTTAACTACACATGTAACCGAAATATCGTGAATATATTGAATACATATATTATTATTTTTTAAGTAAATTTATACTGTATATGAGCATTAATTTGAAATAATTATATAGATTATTGTAATAAACCAGGACTACTGTCCCAAATAAAACTAGAATATAGTTAAGTATTTTGAACGATAATTTATAATATATTCATAAAAATGCTTAATAATGCTTAATTTAGCTTAATGTCAATTTTACTACATATAAAACTTAATATAATACTTAAATAATTTTTAAACTAAATTCATTTCTTATATTATAAATTATCTACAAAAAATAATACGCTTAAAATTCAGCGTAAACACTTTAAACAAATTAGTAGATAAAATAAGAATTTATATTTCCATAACAATTATCAAGTGACATTTAGTTATTTTGTTTGGTATACTGTATTTTAATATTGATTAAAAAAATATTGTAATATCTAAATTATAAATGTTATACATACCACTAACTATAACTATAAATATCAATGACAGTAATTAACTTCAATGATTAAACATGTCTTAATTGTCGGCATAATATTTTAATTGAATAAAGTTACTATAGGATAAAATTTTAATTTGTGCATAATAAAACCAATATTATTATTAAATAGAGTGCAATGAATGATTTTGAGATTACTAGAAATATACCGGACAATTTAAAAACTAAAATTAAAATATTTCACGTTTTCGATGAATTCGAAGGCTGGGGTATATTGTTCGTTACGGATGAGGATCTTGTTTATGGTATGGGCACAAATAAACATGGTCAATTAAATTTCACACATACTCGACCAGTGAAACAGCCTGAAGAAATTGTTGAGCTCCAGAAGTTGAATATACAACAGTTTTATAATGGTCCCAATTATGTAATTGCCCGGGATGATAAAGATATATTATATAGTTGGGGCCGTAATGAACAGAATCAACTTGGTAGACCAGGAGGAATTTCTCTAGATGGAAGTCAATTCACATTTTTAGGTATAGTATTATAATTTGTACATGTTTATTATATTATTACATTTATTTTTAACACAATTTACGGCTTAAAAATTTACATCTTTGTGAAAGTGCATTTTTATACCAGTATAACAAGGATTAATTGGTAATTCGATGATTAACCGCGATTCTAGAATTTATCATAAATTAATAAAACCTACCAAATTTACTAATATGACAAAACTAGACTAATATGAATTATTTTGCTAGAGGTATGCTATGGAACGATCTACAGCGTGGAGTTCCAAAAGTTAAAATCACCAAAAAATAGGGATGATAAACTAATAGTCTAATCACTTATACTTGATAAACTTATAAATTTTTAAGAGCCTTAGTTATTTATGCACAGTTTAGTTATTTATTGCCATAATAAACTTAATAGACATTTAAAATTACTAATACACTAATGTTCAAACAATTTTTAGATTCAATGTTTATAATCATAAAATGATTCTTACATTTAAAGCATTTATTTACACCTTTAAAACTACATTCATTTGTATAAAATAAGTTAAACCTGATTATATGCTCATTTTATGATTAATAAACTTTTAATATTTTTCACCTATTATATTTGTAATGTTTATGACCAAAACTTATAAAGGTATAAATAACCAGTGTTGAATAGTTGTATAAAAATTTGTGTTTAACGCTAAAAATAAATTAAGTATATACATCACTAGTTGACATAATTTGAAATAAGCGAAACTCAATGATCTACAGGGCCAAGATTGATAAATACAATTGAGTTCCTAACCTATCAAACCCTATCCTACCCCACCCATACTAACCCTACCCTAAGCAACCCTATCTCACCCTATGTTAGAATGATTGAATTTGGTCGATTTGAAGCAATTTTCTCGTAGAAATAGTATGGGGCTTTTGAGGCCATTTGGGCAAAAATCTCAATAAGTTTGGCTTTTGGATGTAAGAATAATAAAGCTAATTACCCCATAGCTTAACATAGGATATAGGGTACATTTAAAGCAATTTTCCCATAAGTTGAACATAAGAAATATCATCAGTATCAATGTTAGCTAAATGGGAAACATTACTAATTATAAATTTTTAAATTTATGCCAAATTAATTAGTAAACATTAAATTCTTAAATAAATATTTAAATTATATGTTAATAAAAATTCATGAAATATAAACTCGCTCATTTTTTATTATCTTTAAAATCTAGTTCTTAAATTAATTGTATCTAATGTAATTTCTGCAGAACAGACAATTAATTTTAATTCAATAATGATTGGTCTAGAAATGTGATGTGTTCGGGTAAATAATTAAGATCATTTACTTTAAATTCCCTTAAAAGAAATTAATTTTGTCATGGTTAGTTTAGAAATTATTGAGGGTTTTATTGACAATATTCTTACTATGCCTTTTATCCAAACAATTTAATATATTTCAATAGATAAAACTGTTTTTTTGTAAACTCAAATGGCGCAGACAAAACAGGCAGACTATCATGGTAGACAAAATAAATTATTCTTACAAACCGAGAAGTTTGGGCTATAAAACGCATAAAGTTAACTAATTCCTCGGGCGTATAATGTAGCATTCTAATTTCTGTAAAATCCTATTTATTTTAATTAAATTTCATTAACTTATAATCATAATCAACATTTTATGCAACTTAATATTTATAGAAAAAATTATATTGGCTATACTGTTACCACATATCTTTATAATATATTGGCTTGCTGGTCTTATACGCGAAAGACCATCCGTTACCAATACATATAAAATTATGGAACATTTTAAAATAACGTTTAAAGTGCCTTGTGGCCCAATTAAAGAAATATTCCCCGGTTATGATAATGCATTTGTGCTCGCAACAACTGGTTTAGTATATGGGTGGGGCAGTAACAAGCATGGTAAACTTGGATGCGACGACAGCATTAATAACTTTATAGGAACACCAATTGAAATTAAGTTTCATTGTCCAACTGGAAAATATGAAATCATAAAAATTGTTATCGCGTCAGCAAGCACATATGCCTTGGCAAGGGATCTTATCACAAATGTCCTTGATGTGTTTTATTGGGGTGAAACTACACAAGGTACTAATTACAAGCCGGAACTGTGGCGATACGTATACAAATTGCACGATATATATATTAATAAGAATGGCAATGATGAATATATATACTGTTTTTCCCAAGATGGTCATTTGTACATGCACGATAACAAAACAAATACAATGAAATATCACATTTGTAATAAGCTTTTTATGGAAATTAATCAAATGATTTCGTACAATGATAAAATGTACAAGACACTTACGAGTGCTATTTCAAAGAATTCTAGTGATTGTATGAAGATATATAATATATTAAACTCGCGGGAAGTTAAGGAGACTAAGCATGATAAATTTATAGAGAAATATTCGTTGCAAGATAAATTATCGTTTATTAAACCAAATGTCAACTATAAAGAGTTTAAGCTTGAAGATTTTGACGAATTTATAAGTATTTCATAAATTAATAAATTATATAATTACTGTTAAACATTATAACAAAATTAGTGGGCTTACATTTATTTATAATTCAACACAAATAATTATTAAAAATTATTTCAGGATCTAAGACTGAGGATGGTAAATTTAATCAATTTGACAAAGGTGAAAAACTCGGTTGTGGTGGTTATGGGATTGTTTATAAAGCTACGGATCGTCATAATGGCAAATATTATGCCATTAAATCTTGTGATTTAACTAGTTAACAAAATTATTTTTATAATTATTATTTAGAATTTTAAAATTACCTTTATAAATCATTATAGATCTTGGTGACAAAGAGAAATTTTATGTATTACAAGAAACTGTACACTTAATTAAAGTTGCCTCGGACTATGTGGTTGAATATAACTACTCGTGGTTCCAACAAAATTGCTTGTATTTTCAAATGGAACTATGTTGGGGCAGTTTATCTGATTTTTTGGAAACAAAAATGAATGTGTTTGGTAGACTACAAGGTCAATTGATGACAGATATCGAATTATACATATCTTATGAAATTTTTCGCGAACTCATTGAGTGTTTGGAGTATTTGCATCAAGAACAAATTATTCACAGAGACCTCAAACCAGCTAATGTTTTGATTACAAAAACGGGGATCAGTTATACGAAAAATGGGACCAAAAATCGTCGATTCGTTAAGATATGTGACTTCGGTTTGTCGAAAGGTTTCTACGAATATAGATTAGCAGGTGATAAACAAACGCCAGATAAAGGAACAGTTGGACCATATATGGCACCTGAAGCTATACAAGATGATTATAACCACAAAATTGATATTTATAGCCTGGCCATGATTGGGGCAGATATTTTTGAAATTGATAAAGATAACTTACAAAATTTTCGGTAATATAAATATTTGGCTTATAAGAACCATGTATACGGTATATTTAATGTGCATCTATTTGTTAAATTTAGAAATCAAACCTTTGACAGTTATAAAGAAACCAAAGATTTTTATGAAAATTTATATAAGTTGCTTGTTGAAATGAGCAGTAACAAATATGCGAAGCGTGGATCGATAAAGTGGAGTGAAAGACTAGATTGTGAATTGATATTGGCAACATACAGCACTCTATTAATTCTTCCTACTATTAATGATGATGATTTAAAGCTATTTAGTAAAATCATTGAATCGGATTGTAATGCTATTTATGATAAATATTTGAAATTGAACCCATTTTGTATCATGCCAGATCGTAATGTTAGAAATCGAGGTATGTTTATTAATTTTGTAACAAATTTTTTACTTAAAATTTTAATTGTAAAAAGCTCATAACTCAATTTGGCGCAATGAAATTGATCGAATTGAAGCAGAAATATTTGATATTAGCAATGACAAATTAATAATTACTAATGTATCAAAGGAAAATTCTGTTATAAAATTTCCAGTATATGGTAATTAATTTAAATTATTTTATTGAAAAAACGGATTTATTTATTAAATATTAAATTTTTTTTATTTTGTAGAAGACCTCGATGATATGAAAAATTTTATAACGCAAATTAATGTACATTTATCCATTAACTCAACCTATTTATGTCAATATAATTATTGGTGGATAAAGGATAATAATTTAAAAATCAACCTAGAGTCATATAAATTGACATTGGACAAGTTTATACCTGATAAAACCAAATATTTTCTAACCCAAAGTTATAATTCATATTATGAATATTCATGTTATAAAGGGTTTGATTGTTACCTTTCCCTTGTATTATTCAAACAACTTATCGATTGTGTCCAATATGTACACCAACTTAATGACCACGTTTATCATACCGAAATAAATGAATACAATACTTGGATGATCCCTGATAAATCCATACAAATACACAGACACAGACCAAAGAACAATATTATTAAGATTAATGCACCTGATGGAAAAATATATAATGAACCATGTAAGCGACATACATTAAGCAAACTCGATATTATTAATATAGGTCGCATAGGTAAACTATTGTTTGAATCAGTTTTTAAAGTAAAACCAAATGGACAATTTGAGCGCATTGTTATTGACAAAATATTTGAAGCTAACGAAATAAACGTAGGTGATATTAAAGGGTTTATAAATAAAATGATAAGTGAGACAGAATCAGAAAAACCATTGCTAGAAGTGAAGAATGAATTTGATTACGTCTATGAGCAAGTTACAATTAGCACTAAAATTTATGTTTCAAAAGGATTTGAATGGAGGTGCAATTTTGTTGAAAAATTCCCATATTTACATGATGAATTTGATAGATATTTTAATAATTATATATTGAAGAAAGAATCCTGTGTTTTATCGTAGAATTTATTACAAACATACATTGTTATTATAATATAAACTTATCAAATAGATCAATATTAGAGTTATTAATATTATTAAAAACAAAATAATTAAATGTTCTTCTACTTTAATTATTCTAATTACTGATAATAGAAATATTAAATACTTTAATATTGTTTAGCAAACTTTTAAATTAGTAAATGTATTACACTGCATGTTATAATTGTATATCCAATTTTTAAACTGATATCCTTTGAATTTTAATTTTTGTTGTAGTTAAACATAAGTTTTAATGCATATAATAAAATTGAATTATAAAATTTATACTGTATATAAACTATTATAAAATGTTTAATGGGATGTGTGTATCAAACGTATAAAATAAGTTTATTATACTTTTCGTATGAAACCACTACTAATGTTAAGTACGAATTAAATAACAGTTTGACACTATCGTGTATTACAGTATGAGTTAATTATTGAATTAAGCATTAATTAAATTGTTGCGGACATTCACCGCATTGCCTAACACTCGAATCTAACACTATTTAGAATGAATTCTCCTTTTGTAGCGATTAATGATTGTCCTTTGAGTTTGTCCTCAGGGTAATTTTTATAAACTGACCAAGGGTGAACTGACCAGGGTAATCATTATAAAATTTTCCGATACTCAAAAAAAGAAATTTCATCTTATCTCAACATTTTGGTGTAATTTCTATTGAAATATTCGAACGATAATTGTTTCTATTTTTTAAATTTATATCTGACTCTTCATAATTTAGACATGTTACATTATAATATTACATAAACAAATATTTATTAGGTTTCATTTTATGATGTATTAACTCTAATAAATCTGTTTATATTTAAATTTTGTGAATACATTAATTTAAACAAAACATTATACGATTTGTTTGCTTCGTATGTGACCGAAGATGCCGTGAATATAATGAACACAAATAGTGTCGATATTGTTATCAAGCAATAAATGAATAAAAATTTCATAAATATTGACACCGATTTGAAAAGTAATATAAAACACAATATAACGATAAAATTTCCAAAACCAAACCACAATATTAACATCCATTTTGCCCAATAAGTCGTGTTATAATCATTTAATTCATATGTGACCTGGTTTAATTTATAAAGCAATTTTTGAACGTGATAAAATTGTATGGATTCAATGTTAAATATAATTTTATGATTAAATGCTTTGATTTTTAAAGCAAAGTATTTACAAATTATGTAGAAATAGAAAATATTAAACGATAAAAAGTTCCATGCTATGTATACTAATATTATGAACAAGATAGAATTAGGTATGCCATAGATATATACATAAATATTAGTTAAACCATACTTAATACAGTACGGCAGAAACGCCATGCAAAAATAAATGATCGGGACAATTTTATCGTTATTATATTTCAGACATTTAAACAAAAGTTGAGTTTATCATTAAATGTGGTAGGGCATAAACCGATTTTATATAAATAATTCTCCATGTTTAAAATAAAATATAATTTGCTTGTTTAGCAATAATTTATAATATAAATTTAATTTTATTAGAATTATAAGTTATTATTGTAAGTCACTATTAAAATGATGATTTGTTTATCTAAAATGTAAGATACATTTAATAAGAAAAATAAATTATACAATAGGTTTAATAATATTTTTCTCGAAATGTTTAAGTATAATTAAATAAACATTAATTAACAATGTTATATCAATTTTGCTAATAATAATAAATAATGTATGTAAATAATGATATCACCAATGTAATAATTTATCTAGCCATAAAGCTAATAATTTTGTTAATAATGGGTAACTTTCCAATATTTCATATTTAATAAACCTTAATTATTGATTTTTTTGTTTGAGAGTTATTAACTCTAATATTATATGCTTATTGCAAACATGCTTACATGCTTATAATTATATTTATACATAATTGTTATAATTATTTTGTTTGTTATGAAAAATATGTACTCAATGTATTTTCCTGTATTTGAATCAATACATCATTAATCAATATTTGCAATAAAATAAGTTAAATATAAAAATATACAAATCATTTATTTTCTTTGATAAGTAAAGGAAATTATATTTTAATATAACTTTAACATAATCTTTTTAAATTACTGAAAACATTAGATTGTAATTTTATTAAAAAAAACTTTATAATGTCAATTATTACAAAAATTAAAACAACTTATTATATATTATGTCGTGTATGTATCAAACGTATCAAATTGGTTTTGGGGTGGAAACCAATATTTATGTTATTATTTTTATTCATGACTTTTTATAAACAAAAAACTAATTTAGTAATTATTTTAAATTAGACGTTTCGCCTTATTTGTAAATATGACAAAAATATATTTAATAAAATATAACAAGAAATATTTTTGAAAACAACATACTTAATTAATAATTTGAATATTACTTGACTAAAATCTTGAATGTAACTTATATTTTAGAAATGGATTTCAATTTTCCCATGCTCTACCAAATTATTTTATTTGTTATGTGTAATGCTTAATGAAAACCTAATATTATCAATCTAAAATGACTTATATAACTATATTAAAAACAATTTATTTTAATTTGTGTCGTGTAATATGTGTAATGGGATGTATGTATCAAACGTATAAAATAAGTTTATTATACTTTTCGTACGAAACCACCACTAATGTTAAGTACGAAGTGGAGCATGGTGGTTTTGCATTACCCGCTATAATCATATGTATGAATAAAGCATTTGTTTTTAACGACAAATTCATTGAAAAACACGAAAGTACTCAAAATACTGATTTAATTAAGACTATTCAAGATAAAGCCAATAATATGACTATTAAATCGCAATTTGATTCAATACAACCATTGGACAAGTTGTTTAACTGTAAAACGGAGAGTTTGTATCCTGGCGATTTTAAAACACCAAGTCCGTGTAGTAGAGTATCTGTCTATAAACAATCTATTAATGTGCAGTCATATTGCATAACATTATTTTCGCAAACAAACGGTGAACCCGATGCTAACTACCAGTTCAGGAACCGGATGTTTACCATAAAAATTAAGCTAGCACATAATTACACTCGTAATAGTGAGCAACAAATTAAGTTACAGTTCCACCAGAATCCTATATATTATTATAATTTCATACCATTTAGAGGTGATTGTGATTTCAGTTACTATAAGATTGTGGTTAAAAATAATTACTTACCGATTGGTGTGCAATGTTTCAATGGGACCACCAAGGATGATTGTGCATTTGATTGCGTGGACAGGCATATTGTTAAGCATAGTGATAGACACGGTTTCAGAAAGTTAGTCCATGATAGAAATTCAAACAGGACTCATCTGGGACAATATGATACACCGGTAATGAAGTATCTGGATACTTGTCGCAGGGAGTGCTCACGTTTTATGGAGTGTCATAAAGAGTATTATAAAATGTATGATAAGTGTAAGGAAAGTAAGGCCGATAACATCAAGATAAATTTTAAACTATCAACTGAGCCAACCCTGGTGTATGAAATATCATTGAGAATGACCGCTGAGG